CTTTCTTGGGCCCCTCTTCCCTCCAGGGCTTCATCCCATGTACTCTACTGAGCAGATCCCTGAAGAGGCCAAAGTCTGGTCTCCTGAAGTCCAGGGCAGTGAGCTTGCTGTGCACCCTCCTCCGTGCCCTAAGGATCTTGAATTCCACTATTTCATGGTCACTGTAGCCAAGGCTGCCCTTGAGCTTCACATTCCCACCAGCCCCTCCTTGTTAGTGAGAGCAAGGTCCAGCATAGCACCTCTCCTCGTTGGCTCCTCTATCACTTGGAGAAGGAAGTTATCATCAACGCATTCCAGGAACCTCCTGGATTGCTTATACCCTGCTGTGTTGTCCCTCCAACAGACGTCAGGGTAGTTGAAGTCCCCCATGAGGACCGGGGCTCATGAATGTGAGGCTACTCCTATCTGTCTATAAAGGGCCTCATCTGCACAGTCTTCCTGGTCGGGTGGCCTGGAGGCTCTTCCTAAAGAGCCTGTACCCTTCCATTCCAACAGTCCAGTCATAGGAGCCATCGCACCACATCTCTGTGGTGCTGATAAGATCATAGCCTGAGACAAGAGCCAATAAGATAATTTCCTGCCATGACAGCATTCCTCTGCTCCATCTCTCTCTCTGAAGCCCTTTGGGAGGAGTTAAAAGCAATTACATGCTGCGAAGTGAGAAAGACTTGCCAAAATTCATTCTGAAAGCTTGCAGTACTACTGATTCCACACTTCCATACACAACTTACTCCCGTTCACAACCATCCTTGCTTCCCTGCCCCCACCATCTCTAATCTAAACATCTTCTAATGGGATTTAAGACCATCACCTCTGCCCTTTTCAAAGGCAGGTTTCTGTATTCTCTTTCTTTGCGTAACAACTCTTAATATATTTGAAAAATCTATGCCTTGTTGCTAAGACAGGGAAGGGAAATGTTTTCCTTGCGGTCTAGCTAAAACCTTTAAACACTTTTCCAGGCCACTCACTACATGCACACTTCTGCATTACCTAGAGTTAAGAGACTAGGCCATCAGAAAAATCAGGTCTGGGGTCATACTCAGCTCACTGTGCAGTTTCATGCAGTTCCAAAAAAGTCAGCTGGTAAGGTGGTTGTGTTAGACAACTTGCTTAAACATAAGAAATATCCACTAACACTAAATACTGATTCAAAAGGAAGTTAGGCAGGTGGTACATGATTTTCTCTTTACAGATGCATGTTAATTATTTACCATCTTATAGTACTTATTAATTGCCTATATTTTTTGGCAACTGAAATCAGACCCATTATTCCCCCCCCTTTTCCTCTGCTTTTTTTTCTTTTAAAGACAGGCTCCACCATAAGAATCCTGAATTAACTGAATATGAAAGGCAAGT